CATATATAAAATATTATTTTTAATTGTTTTTAAAATGGAGGTAGTGGTCCACAAAGGCAAAAGTGCTTGTTGTTATTGTTGTTAGGTGCAGTGAGTTGGCTCTGACTCACAGCAACCCTATGTACAACAGAATGCAACACTGCCTTGTCCTGTACCATCCTCACAATCCTTGCTATGCTTGAGCCCATCTTTGAAGCCACTGTATCAATCCATCTTGTTGAAGATCTTCCCCTTTTGTGCAGATGCTCCACCAAGCACGATATCCTTCTTCAGGGCCTGGTCCTTTCTTTCAACATGACCAAAGTACTTATGTATGATGTCTGGCCATTCTCACTTCTAAGGAGCATTCTAGCTGCACTTCTTCTAAGACAGATTTGTTCATTCTTCTTGTAGTCCGTGGTTATTTTCAGTATTGCTCCACACCATTTTGTGGCCTCTACAAGGCCCCATTCAAAGTGGGAATAATTCCCCCCTGACTCCTGTCTTACTTTTAGGCTGACCTGATGTCCCTCATAGCTCATAAAGCTTACAAGGACAAGAAATTCAGGCAAGAGGGACCATTTCCCTCGTTTCTCCTTAGCCTGCCCTTATCCTGGTCACCTCCACCTGCCAATTCTCTCTTTTCTCCATCCTCTCCCCAATTTGCTATAATGATAACCATAATGACAGCAGAATATTAGACTCATAAAGAAGTATCCTGAAATTGTATGCTTTAACTCAAGTGTCCAGGCATGAACATTGCATCTCATTTATATGCACAAGGAGACCCACTGTCACTTAAAGAGCCCCACCCAATTTTGCTTTATACTCATATCTAAGTGGTTAGGAAATATCTGTTGCTGAATACCTGAATGTAAAGGAAATTTTCAAGTAACATAGTTACTTAATAGAGATCTATGGTGAATCTTTGGAAAAAGGGAAAAATGTTTTTGAATGATAATGTCAATATGAAACTTACTATATATCAGGTTCCAGTCTAAACATTTTATGTTTGATCCCCACAAGAACCTTATAAAGTGGGTATTATTATTATTATCCCTATTTTTTTAGAGGGTGCTCGGGTGGCATAGTTCCTAAGGCATTCGACTACTAACCAGAAGGCTGGCAGTTCAAACCCACCAACCACTTCTCAGAAGGAAGACTGGGTAATCTACTTCTGTAAAGATACTGCCTCGGAAATCCAAGGAGGGGTTGCTATGAGTCGAAATATTAACCTAGCATGCTAACCTAGAAGGTTGAACAATGAATAAGGAAGACCAAAAAAGAGTTTGGTTTTTGGTTTATTTTTGTAGATAAGGAAACTGAGGCATAGAGATTTTTAGTAACTTGCCCAAGGTCCTACAGATAGAAGGTAACAGAACAAGGATCAAAATAAAAGCCTTCTAGCTCCAGAGCCCATATCCCTCCGCCACTTCTTCTTTAACGAAACTGCTTGTTAACTTCTCAACTTTTGTCTGTAATTCCAGAATTCTATATGATAGAATCATGCTGTCTCATTTATAACAAATCCACCTGTGTTAGGAAAGAAGTTATGGACTGAGAAGACAAATAATTCTATACGTCTATGATTTGTCCAATAGTTTTCATTGTAATCTGCATGCTATTGTGAGCTATGCTTTAAGTTTTATTTAAAACCCTTATCTTTGATGCTTTCATGGTTACAAAAGTAATACATATTTCATTAAAATTTAATCAATATAGTCATATTTTAAAAATAATTACCAACAACAACAACAAGTCTATAAAACACCCTATTAGCCATATAATCATGTCTGATTATGATCTCTGGTATACCAGTAGTCAGAAGCAACTCTTGGCTTCAGGGTTAGGATAGGGCTTCAGGATTCCTTATCTTGAGGCCTTGTAGGTGGCTGAGTTAAGGTTACAGAGGAAATTCTTGGCAGACAACTGAGGGACTCAAACCATCCCATCTTCTCTTATTCATTCACTTCACTTGGCTAACCTGAGAATGAATGTCATTTCTTCCTACCCCACCAGCCACTCCTCAGAAGGAAGGTTGGGCAATCTACTTCCATAGATATACTGCCTTGGAAACCCAAGGAGGGGTTGCTATGAGTTGGAGATGACTCGACGGCACTTAACAACAACAACAGGTAGCACAATTGTTTGTGCTCAAATACTAACCTAGAAAGCTGAACAATGAATAAGGAAGACCAAAGAAGAATTGATGCCTTTGAAACATGGTGTTGGCAAAGAATATGGAATATGGTATAGACTGCTGGGAGAATGAATAAATCTGTCTTGGAAGAAGTACAGCCAGAATGCTCCTTAGAAAGAAGCAAGGGTGGTGAGACTGATCTCACATACTTTGATCATGTTATCTGTAGGGACCAGTCCTGGAGAAGAACATCATACTTGGTAAAGTAGAGGGTCAGTGAAAAAGAGGAAGACCCACAAAGAAATGAATTGATATAGTGGCTCCAACAATGGTCTCAAACATGGCAATGATTGTAAGGATGAGGTAGGAATGGTAGAAATAGTGTTTCATTCTATTGTACATGGGGTTGCTGTGTTGGAACTGACTCAATGGTACCTAACAACAACAACACTAACTTATAGGTTGGTGGTTCAAACCCATCTAGCAATACCATGTAAAAAAGGCCTGGCAATCAGCTTCCATAAATATTACAGCTAGAAAAACCCTGTGGAGTAAGTTGCTAGGTCTGAGGGCTTGAGACCATGATCTCAGGGGCATCCAGCTCAATGGGCACAACATAGTACCTAAAAATATTGTTCCATATCATACTTTGGTGGGTAGCATCTGGGGTCTTAAAAGCTTTCGAGTAGCCATCTAAGATGCAACTATTGTTCTTTCCCTGTCTGGAGCAAAGAAGACTGAAGAAAACCAAAGACCATAGGAGCCTCAGCCTTCATGATCCTGAGACCAGAAGATGGTGCCTGGCTACCAATGCCAACCACTCAGAAAGGGATCAAAATTGGAGATCCTGGATAGGGTGGGAAGACAAATGTGAAACAAAATTCAAAAACACAAAAATGACCAGAATTACGGGTCAGATAGAGAGAGACTGGTGAAACCCCTGAGACTATTTGTTGTTGTTGTTATGTACCGTCGAGTGGGACCCGACTCATAGTGACCCGTCCTTGGGTTTCCGAGGCAGTATCACTACGGAATTAGATTGCCCCATCTTCCTTCCAAGGAGTGGCTGGTGGGTTTGAACCGCCAGCCTTCTGGTTAGCAGTCAAGTGCCTTAGCCACTATGCTATATATGAGACTATAGCCCCAGATTATTCTTCTGACTGGAAAGGGAGTACTTCAGTGAATTGTTGTTGTTGTTGTTGTTGTTATGTGCCGTCGAGTTGGCCCCGACTCATAGCGACCCCTCCTTGGGTTTCCAAGGCAGTATCACTACACGGAATTAGATTGCCCCATCTTCCTTCCGAGGAGTGGCTGGTGGATTTGAACCGCCAGCCTTCTGGTTAGCAGTCAAGTGCCTTAGCCACTATGCTACCAGAGCTCCTTTGCCCAACCTTCCTTAGGAGTAGTGGCTTAGCTCTCAGCCAAACAACAGAAAGGTTTAGGAGCAGAACACCTACCCTAGGGAAATGCACCCCTTAGAACAATCAATGTGAGAGATCAGAAGGGCAGCATTTGCATAGGGGGAAAGCTAGATAGACAGGAATGCATAAATAAGAAGAACACAGGGAAGGGGCAGTCACAGAGAGGGGAGTTGTTTATCGTTGAGATTGTAATCAGTGCTTTGAAACAAAATGTGTATGAACTGTTGAGAGTAAAAGGAATCTGCTTTGTAAATTTGCACCCAAATTACAATATTTTTTATTTTTATTTTTTTAGAGAAAACGCTATGGAACAGTTCTACTCTGTAACACAGGGGGTCACAATGAGTCAGATTCCACTCAATGGCAATGGTATTTTGTTTCTTGCTTTTAATGAAAGTTTAGAGATTATGCTTTTTTTTTTTTTTTTTGTTATGTGCCATCCCATTGGACCTGACTCATAGTGACCCCTCCTTGAGTTTTCAAGGCAGTATCACTATGGAAGTAGATTGACCCATCTTCCTTCCAGGGAGTGGCTGGTGGGTTTGAACTGTCAGCCATCTGGTTAGCAGCCAAGTGCCTTAGGTACTACACTACCAGAGCTCCCATGCTTTTAATTAGATACCTAATTTGAGCTTTTAGAGCACCATCATTTCCATGAAGAGATTAACTTGATTAACCTAATTATTCCTATGAATTAAGTGTTATTGATGGCATACTTTATAACAGGTATATTCTGAGCCTAATATTTTCCAACCCTTCATTTCTTAGTCCTAACTCTCCCCCTAAGTGAAGCCAGCATCTGCTTGGGCTTCAGGAATCTGACCGAGCAACATGTCTCAGATAAGGCCTATAAGAACAAGGAGAGGTAGGCAGGCCAGTTGTGGCTGCTCTTGGGTAATCTCATACTAGTGTCAGTATCTGTTGCCAAATACTGAAAGAGAAGCCCATTCCAGCTCATCACCATCAAAGCTTTTCCAGCATTTGTGACTTTGGAGGCTGAGGAAGCAGGGAAACCTGATAGATGCGTGGAGAGGATGCATGAACCATCATTCCTTGTAAGGTGAGGCAGTGCAGTGTAGTGACTATCAATCTGGATCTCTTTAGAAAGCAAATAATATCTGGAGACTACTGGATTTGTGTCTCTCTACAGCTTTCATGTTAAAATGAAATCCAGAGGAAACCTCAGTCAGAAGATGGCAATGTGTTTTAAATTTTCATTTATTACTTCTCTCCCCAGCTCCCTGCACCCCTCAAAATGGACAGAGTTTGTTTGCTGTTCTGGTGAAGCTTAACAGTAGTTGAACAGTTGATTTCATTGGAAAACAATATTATTTCGACATGAGGCTGGGTTTTCTGTGTCAGTGACCTGCTTAGGGAAAAGTAATGGATTTCTGCTGGCATTTCAGTGTTCCTGCGTTTCAGTGTTCAGAAGCCCTGAGCATTTCCCAGATCCTCAGAGGAGCTGTGAGTAATGACAGCAACATGTCTGCTTTCAGGTTCTGGGCCAGCCTGCTGATTGTTTTGGGCTATCTCTGTCCTGGAGGTTCATCGTGTGGCATTTCAACACACATAGAAATAGGTAAGTTCTGGTGCTTTGTCACAATATTGAGAGGACCATAAATCTATCAAAAGATATTTAGAGAGGGATTTAATGTCTGTGCCATGTCTTGATAGAATTTTCCCCAGCTGCACTGAGCAGCCTGGTAGGGGAGAGGAGATAGCTATGATTAAAGTTGACCAGGGATGGGGACTCTCAGATGAGTTCATTAAGGGAATAGGTAAGCAAGCAAGCGGATGCCTCTCTGGGTGTTCCTTTGAGTGGGTAAATAGTGAGGAACTAGATGAATTAGAGATTGCAGCAAAGCAGAACTGATACAATGGGAGAGGAGAAGAATGGGCAGCCTGTTGTAAGTGGTTGTTAGTTGCCATTGAATTGATTCTAACTCATGCTTCATAGTGTCTTCAGGGCTGTGACCTGAAAGAAGTGGATTGGTAGGTCTTTCTTCCAAAGTGCCTCTGGGTGGAATTGAACTGCCAACCTTCTGGCTAGTAGTTGAGCACTTAACTGTTTGCACCACCCAGGGACTCCTAATGTTGTAGGAGTGAGGAATTTTTTGTTGTTTTATATGTCTGAGGGCAGGCAATTCCAACTATACGAAAAGGGCTCTTTGTGGCTGTGGGAATGGGTCCTGTGAGTTAATTGGCTTTAAAGGTGATTGGCTTCAGGTCATCTGCATTGACATTAGAGGTGTCCAGAATGATGGCAGGAGTTGAGGAGGAGAAGAGTACAGCAAGCTGGTGCCAACCACCAGTGGCAAAGGCAGAGCAATCTGGATATGGGTAGGTAGTAGCACAGATTATGGCTCTTGTTATAAAGTGCATTTGTAATATTTTTGACATGTGGGAAGTATGAGCCAATTTGTAATATAATTTAGATATGACTACATCGTATAGCAGTTTTCAGATTAATTTCAGATATACGTGATGTTCTAGGTTTTATTTAGTTTAGATAAAAATAATAATGATAGTTTGTAATTATACCATATTTAGGAGTGATACAGTAGAACAAGATTAAAAAGAAAATGTGGAAACTTATCAGGGTAAAATAGACCTAGATATTGAGCTACAGTAGGTAAAAATCTTAGGATCATAGAATTTTATGACTTGAAGACACAAGAGGTCACTGAGTCCACTTCCTTTTATAGATGAAGCAGCTGATCCCAGAAAGCTCTTGCCCAAAGTTTCACATCTAACTTGTTAGTGGCAGGTCTAGAATTATGTGTCCTGACAGCTAGTTCTGTATTCTTTTCATTAAATATTTATTGTTAAAAGCAAGGCAGAAGATACTGGAGAAGAGAATCAGAGCTAGGATCTACTACCAGCTCTGCGGTAAACTAAATGAGTGACACTGAGCAATTTACTTTATCTCCCAATTCTTCTGTAAAATAAAGGCGATGAACTTCTTAAAGAATTTTACAGTGTCTTCCAACTCTAAGATCTGTGAAATTACTAAAATCTGTTCTGAAGTGAAACAGACATGAATGGAAATATTTCGCTTTTTAATCCTTAAAGATTTACATGACAAATGAAATCTAAAATTTTAATGAAATTAGATCATTGCCTTTCTGCAACAAACACCAAACAGTGCTCTGATGTGAACAGCAGTGAAAGCAACTCCTGAGACAGTATCTACACAGATTTTGAGAATATTTTATATAAAAGGAGACTAAAATGCCAACATGTATTTATTTATTTAACATTATTTATATGGTTTTGTATATATTTCATGGCATTCATCATCACAAAGAATATATTAAGATCTATCCTGAAATATAATGCTGTCAGCGATAGCATAATATCTATACGCCTATGAGGAAAACCAATTAATACGCTATTATTCAAATTTACGCACCAAAGACCAAAGCCAAAAATAAGGAAGTTGAAGATTTTTATTAACTTCTGCAGTCTGAAATTGACCAAGCATTTAATCAAGACCAAAATGGATGTCAGAAGATACTCTGAAACTTGCCCTTGAAAGGAGAGTAGCTAAAGCAAATGGAGGGAAGGTTGGGCAATCTTACTTTCATAGTGATACTGCCTTGGAAACCCAAGGAGGGGTCGCTATGAGTCAGGTGCGACTCGACGGCAGATAACAACAACAACAACAAAGCAAATGGAAGAATCAACATGATAAAAGAGCTGAACAGAAGATTTCAAAGAGTGGCTCAAGAAGACAGAGTCAATTATTATAATGAAATGTGGAAAAACCTGGAATTAGAAAATCAAAAGGGAAGAACATGCTCAGCCTTTCTCAAGCTGGAAGAATTGAAGAAAAAATTCAAGCCTCAAATTGCAATATTTAAAGATTCCATGGGCAATATGTTGAATGATGCAGGAAACATTAAAATGAAGAATATATGCACACTCACTATACCAAAAATGATTGGTAGATGATAATCCATTTCAGGAGGTGGCATATGATCCAGAATCAATGGTGTTGAAGGAAGAAGTCAAAGCTGCACTAAAGGAATTGGCAAAAAAACAAGGCTCCAGGAATTGATGGAATACCCACTGAGATGTTTCAACAAACGGATGCCACCCTCGAGGCACCCACTTAGCTATGCCAAGAGATTTGGAAACAGCTACCTGGTCAACTGACAGGAAGAGATCAATATTTGTACCCATTCCAAAGAAAGGTGATCCCACAGAATGTGGAAATTATTGAACAATATCACTGATATCACATGCAAGTAAAATCTTACTGAAGATAATTCAAAAACGTTTGCTACAGTATATTGACAGAGAACTTCCGGAAATGAAAAGTAGATTCAGAAGGGAACGTGGAGGGAGGGATATCATAGCTGAAGTCAGATGGATCTTGATCCAAAGCAAAGAATACCAGAAAGATGTTTACTTGTGTTTTATTGACTATGCAAAGGCATTCAATTGTGTGGATCATAACAAATTATGGATAACATTGAGAATAATGGGAATTCCAGAACACATACTCATGAGGAACCTGTACATACATTAGGAGGCTGTTGTTCAAACAGAATAAGGGGATACTGCGTGGTTTAAAATCAGGAAGGGAGTGGGTCAGGGTTGTATCCTTTCACCATACTTATTCAATCTCTATGCTGAGCAAATAATCTGAGAAGCTGGACTATATGAAGAAGAACATGGCATTAGGATTGAAGGAAGGCTCATTAACAACCTGAGATACATAGATGACACAACTTTGCTTGCTGAAAGTGACGATGACTTGGAGCACTTACTGATGAAGATTGAAGACCACAATCTGCAGTATGGCTTACACCTTGATATAAAGAAAACAAAAATCCTCACAACTGAATCAATAAGCGGCATCATGATAAATGGAGAGAAGATTGAAGTTGTCAAAGACTACATATTACTTGGTTCTACAATCAACAGCAATGGAAGCAGTAGTCAAGACATCAAAAGATGTATTGAATTGGGCAAATCTGTTGTGAAAGACCTCCTTCAAGAGCTGAAGAGCAAATATATTTCCTTGAAGACTAAGAGGCGCTTAACCCAAGCCATGGTATTTTCAGTCACTTCATAGGCATGTGAGAGCTGGATGATAAATAAGAAAGATTGAAGAAGAGTTGATGCTTTTGAGTTGGTGAAGAATGCTGAAAGTACTATGGACTGCTAAATGAACTAACAAATCTGTCCTGGAAGAAATGCAGCCAGAATGCTCCTTGGAAGCGAGAATGGCCAGACTTCATCTCACCTACTTTGATCATGTTGTGAGAAGGGACCATTCTCTGGAGAAGGATGTCATGCTCGGTAAGATGGAGGGTCAACAAAAGAGGGGAAGACCCTTACCAAAATGGATTGACACAGTGGCTGCAGTGAAGGGCTCAGGTATAGCAAGGATGGTGAGGCTGGCACAGGACCGGACAGTGTTTTGTTCTCTTGTACATGGGGTCACTATGAGTCAGAGACGACTCAATGGCATCTAACAACAACTTATATATTGTGATTGTTTCCTTTTCCCTTCTTATATAGGACCTAAATAGAAGTTTACATGAATGGCAGCTTGTTGTTGCTGTTGTTAGGTGCCATCCAGTCAGTTCTGACTCATGGTGACCCTGTGTACAACAGAACAAAACACAGCCTGGTCCCGCACCATGCTCACAATCATTGCTATGCTTGAGCCCATTGTTGCAGCTACTGTGTCAGTCCATCTCACTGAAGGCCTTCCTCTTTTTCACTGACCCTCTACTTTACCAAGCACGATGTCTTTCTTTTGGAAATGGTCCCTTTTTATAACACGTCCAAAGTATATGAGACCAGGCCTCTCCATCCTTGCTCCTAAGGAGCATTGTTTCTGTACTTCTTCCAAGACAATCTGTTCATTCTTCTGGCAGTTCACGGTATTTTTAATATTCTTCATCAACACTGTAATTCAAAGGCATCAATTCTTCTTACTTATTCATTGTCTAGTTTTCCATTCATATGAGGCTGTTGAAAATACCATGGCTTGGGTCAGGTGCACCCTAGCCCTTAAAGTGACATCTTTGGTTTTTAACACTTTAAAGAAGTCTTTTGCCCAATGATTTTTGGATTACTGCTTTCTTGGGTGTTAATTAGGGATCTCAGTAAAACTAAATCCCTGACAATTTCAATATGTTCTCCATTTCAATATCTTCTCCATTTATCTTCACAACTCCATTTATCATGAGGTTGCTTGTTGGTTCAGTTGTGAGGATTTTTGTTTTCTCTATGTTGAGGTGTAAGCAATACTGAAGGCTGTAGACTTAGTTAATTATAATTGGCCTCATCAATGGTTTTGTTCTATAAATCATATATCAACTTCCTATGTGAAGATTATTTGTGTCAGTGTGGCCTTGTCACTTATGGTATTAATGCTGATAATATATTGTTGTTGTTTTGTGCTGTTGAGTTGCTTCTGTCTCATAGTGACTCTATAAAATGGAGTAGAACTGCCCTATAGGGTTTCCTAGGCTTTAATATTTATGGCAGCCGATCTCCAGGTCTTTTCTCCCACGGAGCTGCTGGTGGGTGTTTGAATTGCCAACTTTCAGTTAGTAGTCCAGCACTTAACCATTGGGCCACTAAGTCTCCTTGCTTATAATTTTGTAGTAGCTATATACTTTTTCATGGTATAAATTTTAAAAAATTGCATGTGATTCACAATAAAAATAAGGACCATGTCTCTTCACAAAGAATGTTAATCTTTCTCTTGATTCTGAGAAGATTCTGGGTGTGGATGTGCATGAGGGTGTGTATGTATTTATGTGTGTGAGTGTGTAGGTGGCTTTCTGAGTTTCTTTTGTCCTTCCAAATGGTCCTATGACGAAAGAATGTGCATCTTTGACCAATCAATAGTTTAGGCCCTTTATCATGTTTTTACTTGAGTTTATCTACCTCAGTGGGTGGTTCTGAGGCAAAATCTGATGATGGTAAATTCTGTTTATTGAGATCCTATCATGTATCAGTCATTGTTCCTGTCACTTAGCATTAATTTTCTATAATTCTCTTAACAAAGCTGTGAGATCAATGTAACTTTTGGGTGGGTCGCTATGAGTCGGAGCTGACCTGACAGCAGTGCGTTTGGTTTGGTTTGGTTTAACTTTGAATAAGAGAGAACTGAGGCCTAGAGAAGTTAAAGAACTTACCCAAGGTCATAGAGCAAGTTAAGTAAAAATATTAAACAAGTATGCCAACTTTATTTGCATTATAATACAAATATTGTATGAATCTAATTATACCTAATGAAGATTTTAAATGAGTACAAACTTAATTTCCATTTTCTACTTTTTTGACAGTTACAACCATGAAATTATATTTTTTCTTCTAAAATGATCTCTAGTAAGTTCCATTTTCAATTATAGCTGAACTTAATTGACTTATGTATTTATTTCTCCCAGGACACAGAGCTCTGGAGTTTCTCACGCTTCCAGTTGGGAGTGTTAACTACAAAGAGGTATAAAGCTTGATTTTTCTTTTATTCCTTGTGCATTAACTTTCTTCAGTAGTGCCAAACAATGATCCTAACAGATATAAACAATAATTTTAAGAATTATTTTTATGTCTCTGTAAAACATTACTATTTTATATTAAAAAGTGTGTGTCCTGGCAAATGGCTTGCCTCTAAGTACTATTTGAACATTATATATATTTGGAAGACTAGGCGATCTGCTACTGTAGATATACCACCTCAGAAACCCAAGGAGGGGTCACTTTGAGTTGGATCAACTCAATGGCAGTGAGTTATATATAAATATTATATATAATACATAAATATGATACAGAAATATGTAATGTATAAATATTATATACATATATAAATGTTACAATAATTTAAAATAATATTTTTAAAGTTTTCAAAAATTATATCTCTTATTTTTATAAAGAGAGATCATATCTGAGATAAGTCATTTATTTTCCAGTTCTCATCTCTTTGTGTTGCATACAATTGCATCATCATGAGGAGAAGGAAGTATTTTCTCAGAAGTAGGCATTGGGATGTTCCTTCTGATTTCTCCTACTGTATTCCTGGTAGGATCGTACGATGGCTCACATCTACCCATTCTCAAATTAGCTTCACACATTCTGACCCTATGCACTATTTCTAGCTCCATAGCTAAATAATACTTTGTGACAAAGATGATTATTAAATATTTACATCCAATAAGACTGGTTAGTATTTCTTCATGACATCAGAATTGGATCAAATTATTACCAATAAGTCTTTATAATCCAGTATGAAAAGCAGGATGGCAAGATAATGGAAATCTATAATATCCCAAACCACTATTAGTCATTAGTTTCAACTTCCTTACTTGGAAAAAAAACCAACATTTATGTTAGACTTTCATTTTTGATGACCCTGGTAGGAAGCAGGGAAGAAAGAGAAGTGGGGCAAGGATCTGTCTGATTCATCACGTGAAAAATTAACCCTGAGTGCATGCAGCAGAGTGATTGTCAAGTGGAGGTGTCTTCAAGCTTGCATTATTAACTTAATTTTGAAACATGTGAAATGGACACCAGACACTTCTCTTTCTAATCCAAATTCTGATATTGTCATTAGAAACACACTTCTTCCTTTTAACTTATGAACATAGATAGCGATTTCTTTACCTTTTATAATATCATCAAGTCCCTTTTCAAAGACTGATGCTCCATTTTATATCTCCATATGTAGGAGATAATTATGGTGTAGTGCCTAAGGCATTTGACTGCTAACAAGAAGGCTGGTGGTTCAAACCCACCAGCCACTCCTCAGAAGGAAGATTGGGCAATCTACTTCTGTAGAGATATTGCCTCAGAAACCCAAGGAGGGGTTGCTATGAGTCACAGCCAGCTCGACAGCAGTGAGGTTTTTTTTTTTTTGTAATGAGACTAAACATATTTTGAAGAATTTGTTGACCATTTTATTACCTCTTCTATGAATTACCTGAGCTTTGGTCATTTTTCTATTAGAATATTTCTCATCTTGAACTATTTGTTGTTGTTTTTTTCCGTCGAGTCGGCCCCGACTCATAGCGACCCCTCCTTGGGTTTCCGAGGCAGTATCACTACGGAAGTAGGATTGCCCAACCTGCCTTCCGAGGAGTGGCTGGTGGGTTTGAACCGCCAGCCTTCTGATTAGCAGTCAAGTGCCTTAGCCACTATGCTACCAGAGCTCCTCATCTTGAACTATAAGAATAGCTTATTTACTAGCTGTTGTTGTTAGGTGCTATTGAGTCAGTTTTTGAGTAGAACTGCCCCAGAGGTTTTCTAGGTTCTGATCTTTATGGAAGCAGGTTGCTGAGCACTTAACCATTGTGCCACTCAGGTTCCTTCTCCCTGCTAACACCTGCTTTTTGATGACCTCTCAACTTACTGGTGAAGTCATACAGAAGGAAGTGGCCTGAAGGATTCTAGTGGCAGACTGGATAGAGAGATCCCCACATGCTGGCAAGATCTTGGCTTGATCTACACATTCAGGACTGAACTTTGTTGGTTTGGAGATTCTTGTTTTTGTTGCTGTCAAGTCATCTCTAACTCATGGTTAGCTTATATATTAAAAAAATGAAATGTTGCCTGGCCTGTGTCATATTCATGATCATTAATATGGTTGAGCCCATTGTTGTGGTTATTGTGTCAATACATCTCATTGACTGTTTCCCTCATTTTTGCTGACCTTCCACCTTACCAACCATGATGTAATTTTTCATCAATTGGTCTTTCCTGATGATGTGTCCAAAGTAAGAGAGCCAATGTTTTCCTTCCTTGCTTCTGGTTATATTTCTTACAAGACTGATCTGTTCATTCTTTTGAAGGTAATTTTTTGTTAATACACCCAGAGGTGACTGCACCTCAAATACTTAACTTACACTAACCAAATTAATAAGAGATTAATATATAAAGCTGAGAAAATAAGTTTATAGATTTATGAGAACTGTAGGAACCAATTTGACTTTACATAGGTGGTCATTGTTGCTCTGATATTTACTCTCTTTCTACAAGAATAAATAGAATGTTGGGACCATAGTTACATGGGACAACAAGCTCAATTGGCATAACATATTACACAAAATCATTGTTCTACATCCTACTTTGATGAGTAGCGACTGGGGTCTTAAAAGCTTGCAAGCAGCCATCTTGATGCAATAATTGGTCTCTCCTTGTCTGGAGGAAAGAATAATGAAGAAAACCAAAGACACATGGAAACAATTAGTCCAAGGGACTAGTGGACCATGCGAAAGTCAGCCTACATGACCATGAGTCCAGAAGAACTAGATGGTGGCCAACTCTCACTGTCTATCACTCAGAGAGGGATCAAAACAGGTCCTAGATATGTTGTTGTTGTTGTTGTTCTTTTGCCGTCGAGTCGGCCCCGACTCATAGCGACCCCCCCTTGGGTTTCCGAGGCAGTATCACTACGGAAGTAGGATTGCTCAACCTTCCTTCTGAGGATCCTAGATATAGTGGGAGAAAAATGTGGAACAAAACTAAAACTCATAAAAAAGACCAGTCTTACTCGTCTGAAAGAGACCAGTGAAACCCCCAAAACAGTGGTCCCTATTCTCCCTTCAGGCCTGAAATTGAACTCACTTCCATGGCATCCAGCCAAACAATAGACAGGCATATAAGGTGAACATTTACACCAGGTAGGTACACTCCTTAGAACAATCAATCATGGGAGATCAGAAGGGCAGTATTTGCACAGGGAGATAGTTCAGAGGGCAGGAATGCATAGGAAAGGAAGACACAGGGAAAAGGTGGGAGGAAGTGGGAAACAAAAAGTTGTTACATTATAAGGATTGCAATCAATGTCATGAAACAAAATGCATATGAACTGTTATATATAAAAAGAATTTGCTCTGTGAACTTTGATCCAAATCACAATAGAAAAGAAAAGAAAAATTAAAAATAAAATGTATGTTGAGCAGCAAATCAGAGCAATGAAGGTTATTTGATTGGTTGTCAGCCTCTCCCTGTCCCCACCCCCAAACAGAATAAAATTGTATCTTTTCAGATTATGAAACAATAGAAGATAGTTGTTATAAATCTCAGAGATAACCAATGTAAACATTTTGCTTTATTTCATTCCAGGAAGTTTCTGTGCATTTATTCCAAACTCCAAACTCACTGCCATCAAGTCAATTAGACTTATAGCAGCCCCTCCTTGGATTTCCGAGATGATATCTCTACGGAAGTAGATTGCCCAATCTTCCTTCCGAGGAGTGGCCGGTGGGTTTGAACTGCCTGCCTTCTGGTTAGCAGTCAAATGCTTTAGGCACAGGCCACCAGAGCACCATTTTTTTTTTTTTTTTAAATACGTTATACTCTACAGACTATTTTGACACATAGTGCCTAAGGCATCTGACTGCTAACCAGAAGGCTGGTGGTTCAAACCCACTAGCCACTCCTCAGAAGGAAGACTGGGCAATCTACTTCTGTAGTGATACCGCCTTGGAAACCCAAGGAGGGGTTGCTATGAGTCAGGTCCGACTTGATGGCACATAACCACAACAACAATTTTAGCTTTTTATTTTAAAATATTTTAAAGCTTACAGAAAAGTTATAAAAATACAACAGATATTTCCTATTTGCCCCTTACCCAATTTCCTCAATTGTTGACAGCTTACCATATTTTTCTTTTCATTTTTTTCTCTCTCTATGTATATGTGTGTGTGTGTGTATGGCATCAGTTGTTGACTTGATTACTCATCCTTTAACACATTATTCCTTATTTTCTAAAAATACAGATACTATTCTATATAACCAGGGTATATTAATATAAATCAGAAAATCAACACTAGAATAATGCTATCACACAGTCCTCTGACCTCATTCTAATTTTACCAATTGGCTCAGCAATGTCCATTATGGGTGTAGACCAATCCAAGATCATATCTTGTATTTAGTTATCAATTCTCTTTGGCCTTCTCCAATCTAGGACAGTTCCTCAGGCTTACTTTGTAATGACTTTGACATTTTTTTAAAAGTACAGACCAATAACTATAGAATCTAATGTGATGTTGTCTTATGGTTTCTTGCAATAGATTCTCCTACAGGTTATGCATTTTTGGCTGGAGTATCATAGAACATTAAAGTGATGTAGCATTCTTGCATCATGCCAGATGGCATGCAATGGTAATTTGTCCCATTACTGGCAATGTTAACTTTCATTTTGAGCATTGTGTTTTTCAGTTCTAAATTTCCTTTTGGCTCTTATATTTCTATTTCTTTGCTGAGACATTCTGTAGTTTTCATTTTTGCCAAGCAGGTTCTTAATTGTTCATTGAAGCATATTTATGATGGCTGTTTTAAAAGATAAGTCAGATAATTATAATTTTTCTGTCATCTTGGTGTTGATATCTATTCCTTGTCTTTTTCATTAGTTTGAGATTGTCCTGACTTTTGGTAGGATAAATGAAAGAATTTTGCAAGATAGAATTATTCATTGCAAATACCTTTTTTCCAACAACATAA